TCTCTGGCCACTCACAAGCCTGGCATTCATCTGCTGCATGACAAGAACCATACCCCTTTCGTCACTACGCGATGTGACAGCGTTTGGACGACACAAAACCTTCCTGAATCATGATTGACTCTTGCTAATGAGAGTCCACGTCAGCCCTAACTTTTCAGGCATAACAGAAGTCCCCCAGTTTTTAAGGTTTAAGGATTGAACCTTGAGAACTTCATGATTATGCCGCGACTTAACTTGCCCCGAATGATGTTTGGTCGAGCTGATTAAGCTGCAAGAAGGTCACAGCACATATCTCTAAGGGTAGTACAAGCGACCCGAGGTGGCCTTCTTCCACAAGTTTAACGACTTGGATCGAGCCTCACCAAGTGCCGTATCGATGTGTTTCAAATCTCATCCGCGGTTCGCGACTTGAAAATACTTAGCATATTTTTACCAAGGACAAGGAATCACATTGTCTCGAAACTGATACGCGGCGAATAGTATTCTACCCAAACAACCTCTTCAGATGTTATCCGTTACGCTTGACAACTAATCTGTTTAATAAAATAATCTTTATCATGACAGATGTGTCTAGTGCGCAATAAGTGCTAGCCATGTACATTAAAGCAAGCCATACTGAAACGACATTCTCTTTCAGAGCATTAAATGCGGATGAGGGCGCATTTAATGTGGAGGAGATAATCGAGTCGTCGCTTGGTTGTTCCCATGGAGGGAAGTGTCAATTGGCATTTTTTAAGCGTGGCGGTTACTTCTTCTCGCGGATTGATGACATGTGATCACAATCAATGGTGAGAAACGTATTCTGTCCAAACGTCGCTTGCCTACGGGAATCAATCGTCACTTCCTCCCCCTATAAAACCCCAGGCTCGCCTCAAGCTTTGTCACAAAACTCATACTTTCAGAGAAAGAACAAAGCTCTCATGAAATCAGTCTCCCTTTTTTCCAGTTGACACACGCCTTTCGTTTACGACAAAAAGTCCGTTCCTCCGCAGCCAAGAGGTAAGGAGGATTTCTCCTTTGCTTTTCTTTTACTATTTTGTTGATAGCTTGTCTTGACGATAATGGTGGGTATGAACTGTTTGGTAAACTTTTGTGGTGCGTATTTATGGGCTGTTGTGAGGAGAAGGCTTTTTCTTTTATAAAGAGAAAATTTAGGGCACAAATCCTTGGGGGTTGGTCCCCAAGGGTTTTTAGGGTTTTTCTAGGGTTTAAGGAAGGGACATTAGGGTTTCTTTTGTTCTTCCACGTCATTGTACGGAATACTGTATGGAGACTGAGTTATCTCTACGTGTCGCCCATTTTTCAAACCTTAGGAGCAATGGATGCCTCAGTGACTAGAACAATCGAGGGGACGAGCTCGCAGGCGCAGGACGCCCCAGCGGGTCCCGTGCAAGAGATTTTATCAGTGGCTACCAGAGATGAGATACAAAAGGCAGTGGACCAATACGCACTTAGCGTGGACGTTTACCAGCACAGAACGTATACAGAAATTCAATTAATTAAAGTTGTTTAAATTTAGTATTGCCAACAACCGCATAAATAAGCTCATAAAATTGTATGTAAATTCAATGTTTACTGTGCAAATGAATCATCTTTCACAAGCATCTGGCGTCTATCATGCAAATCATAGTCTAATTTTTCCCTTCTCTAAATTCATTCTATAGTCGATGACTCGATGGGGCCTGGAGGCCTGCATTCGAATATGAAATTTTACCACCATCATAGTTAGAACTGTCCAAAACACTTCCTTTTGCTGTTCTCATGGACATTTTCCTGTTATCCATGTCTAATATTAACATTATTGAATGCCTTATCTAAAAATGTACCATAAACTCAGTATTTTATGTGACAAAAATGTGAGAAAACAAAACGAAAAATAACAGTTTCATGTTTGAGGTTTGACCTAATGCCCATGAGTCCAGCATATTTCAGTTCTTCATCTATATATGTAGCTTCAAAAACCAGCATATTTCAGTTCTTCATCTATATATGTAGCTTCCAAAACCAGCATATTTCAGTTCTTCATCTAGTTTTGGCCAAACAATAAACATAATATCTAACTTTACATAACAAAACACGAGTCCAGCAACAAGTTCATCGGTGCTCTATTAAATATAAGGGTGAAAGTGTGAGTATTAGTATGGAAAAACCTTAAGGTGAGTCTGTAATTTTTGCTATTAATTGTGAAACTGGACACCTCGTTAGCAGGTGTCAAGGTTAGCGAAGAAATAAGCTGTGGCAGGAGGATAACAATAAGTAATCCCGTGAGCAATGCAGCAGCTTCTAGTGGAGAACCTCTCAAACGGTTTCAATTCATATATATATTAAAACAGTTTGAAATTGCCTTCCAAAATTCAATTTTTTGGCATCCTTATTGTTTTATTTTAATTTGGCCTAATCATTTTCTTTATCTTCTATTGCACACACACAGAGAGAGAGAGAGAGAGAGAGAGAGAGAGAGAGAGAGAGAGGTGTTATACATGGTTTAATTCACGCTTTCTCTGGTATGGATGCTGTGATTCAGTGATTGCACAAGTAAGCTACTGAAAATATATATGATATTAATATGTTATTATCAATTACACTAAATATTTAGATAGATAAGAAACTTATTTAGCTTGTGATATAAGTAATTTGAAAAGATAAATTATTTAGTTTATGATATAAGTATTATGAAACTCCTCTGGTATTCTAGGGTTTTTTTTTTTTTTTTGTTAAGAGTATTAATCCTCGTGAATGTGACAAGATACTAGGGTGGTAATAGTAAATGAGCACTACCACTGGTTTTAGGAATAGATAGGAGTCAAGATTAGGAGACAGGTGTTGAATATATTTTTATGGTTCAATATAAAACAAAGTTATTTTAAGTTATATACAGATAATGATATGCTTACAACTGAGTCATACAATCAAACATATAATCAAACAAAAAACATAAGATAGAGTAATCATTTTACATGAATTTTGTATAATTTTTGCCTTATTGTATACCTGGTTGTATAATTTAGTTGTAAGTATAACATTATTCATATACGGGGAGAGTTCCGCAACCTCTCTTTTTTTACACAAGTTTAAAGCCTTTGGATCTAGCATTTTAGATTGTTGAGATTCAACGTAACTTGTACATTTAATACACTTGGAAAATAATATAATTTAGATTCAATCCCAACCATTCAAATGTTTTAATCTAATGGCTCAAAAATTGTGTCAAAAGTTATGTTATATATATATATATATATCATGGCATCCAAATAAATTTTATCATTATGACTCTAAATTTGAGACGTTAGATTTTGTTGACGGTTGAGATTTATTTAAATTTTAAAAAATAATATAAAAGTTGTTCATAATTTTAACTTCTCTCACCTTATCTCTGCCACTTTTTCTCTCCATGAATTTTGTATGGTAACTAATTTCAAATTTTCAATATTATTAATCTTAATCATCAAAAAATTTGAAGTCCCCAAATTCAGTGTCCTAATTATAGAAAATATCAACACAACCTAATAAGGAATCTCTCTCTCTCTCTCTCTCTCTCTCTCTCTCTCTCTCTCTCTCTCTATATATTATATATATATATATATATATATATATATATTAATATATATATCATATATATATATAACTTTAGTTTATTTTATTATGTGAGAGTTATTAATTTGTACTGATAATTAAGTCAACCTACCTAAAATATACAATAATACTAACCTCACTAATCCCTCTCACTAACCCATCTCACTAATCCCATGTGGGAGTTTGTGATTGGTTTGGTTAGGTGGGACCCATTATTAGACAGATGGACCCCATATAAATTGATGAATTATGAACTGACATGTGGCATTAGTAAGAGAAGGTTAGTGAGTGTAGTGTTACTCTAAAATATAACCAATTTTATAAAACTAAAACATAAATACCCTACTTTTTTAAATTTAACTTGTCCTACTCTACTGCTCTAGGTACGCCCAAGCCCAACTAGAGTTGGAAAAGTAACCCGACCCGACCCGAGTTACTACTTTTGGCAGGTTGGTCCTAACCCGCCCGCCAACAAAGGCAGGCCTGGTTAGGCCCGCCATGTTTGCGGGAATGGCTGGCCCAACCCGGCCCGCCAACCCTAACCTGTTGGGTTAGATTGCGGGTCGGGCCGGGTTAACCCCCTTTTTTTATTTTTGATTTTGTTTTATTTAGTTAACTTTTCAAATAAATAATTAACGATTTATAAATGAATAAATGTAATTTTTTTTAGTTAACTTTTCAAATATCAATAACTAAATTAAATTAATTTTTTTTTATTAACATTTCAAATATTAATTCAATTTTAATACAATAAAATTTAATATAAAAAAATTAGATTTATTCATTCAATTGATGAAACTTTAGCATAAGGATGAATTATATTTTATACAAGACATGGAAATTTAAGAATAAGACTTCAGTATTTAATTTTTTTATATTTTACGTACCATAAAAAATAATAATAATAATAATGTGTTAAATATTACGAAGTTTTATACATTTTAATATTTATGATTTAAAAGTATAGTTTAATATTATTGTGTAAAATTATTTGCAAGAGTTTAATCATAATAATTTAATTAAAAGAACTAAAAAATGGGGGAAACTTGAAAAAAATAATTAATTTTTTAATTTTTTTGGGCCAACCCAACGGGTTGTCTTGCCAACCCACCGGGTTGGCTATTGTAAACAAATAGCAACCCCTTGGGTTGGCGGGTTGCCATATAGCAACCCGGCCCGCCTATAAGGCGGTCCGGGTTGAACCCTCTTCAATGCGGGCCGGGTTAGGGTTGACCCGCCTAACCCAGCCCATTTGTTCCACCTCTACGCCCAACCCAAGTTACTTCACCTTCACATGCACATTTGTGATATTCTTAAAACATGTTGGACCTTACTGATTTTAACCCAAACCTGAAGAAACTAAAATGAAATATTTTCTCTGAAATAAAATCCCAAGCAACGAATCTTCTTTACCCGGCAAACACAAAGATGAAAGACCTAATCAAGCAGTCAATTCCTTCACTCGTTTAGGTCACCACTCACCAACAAACACAACACAAACAATTTCTTACGATCTTCTCTTTTCAACTCTTCTCAAAACTTCTCCTTGACAGAACTCCATGGATAACCCTTCCAGACCCGTTACCGGCTACCCCGCTCCCAACCAAAATGGCCATCCTCATCCTCCTCCCAACGCCGCCTACCCTTACGCCGCTGCACCCCCGCCCTCTCAGCCCTACGCCTACAACCCTTATTACCAAGCCCAAACTCCTATTTACCGCCGCCCGGCCTTTGTCCGTTCCTTCCTTATCACTATGATCGCCCTCGCTATCATCTTTGGTTGCATTCTATTCATCTTCTGGCTCGTCGTCCGGCCACGTGTCCCCGAGTTCCACATCACCTCTCTCTCCGTTTCCAACTTCTCTACCAATAACTCTCAACTTACTGCCAATTGGGACGCACGCGTACAGGCCTATAACCCCAATAAGAAAATGAGCGTCTACTACTACGACGTCTTTTCCGCAATTAACTACAATTCTGTTACGTTGTCGCGAACACAAATGCCTCCTTTCGAACAAGGCACACGCAATCAGACGGAATTGACCGCCAAGTTCGCGGTGGTTGGTTCGTATATTGAGGAGAAATCGGTGAATAGTATAAATTCGGAGAGGAGTGGTGGATCGGTGAAGTTTGATTTCAGGCTGGAGGCTTATGCGAGGTTCAAATACGGTGGTTGGAGGATGAGGAGGAAGTGGGCTAGGGTTTGGTGTGATGACGTGGCGGTCAGTCTTTCGTCAAGTAGTGGATCGGGGAACTTGGTGGGTGGTTCCAAGAAATGTAGGGTGGCTATTTAGGTATGTTTGTTTGTTTGGGTGTTAGTTTTTAGCATGTATTTATGTTGAAATGTAGCTAGATTTTTTCTTTTTTGGATTTAATGTAATTTCAGGATGAATTATATATGATATGATGTGAATCAATGCGGTATAGATGTACATGGATTAGGGCTTGGTGGCTGTATAGTCTATGCTCTTATTTATTGCTGCAATTCAATTGAAAATATTTTTGGTTGTTCCTATCTATTAATTTCATATTTATATTTCCATTGTGGTTGTTGTGGCTCTTTTGCTTGGAGTGAATTTATTTTTTTACTTTGATAAACCTAGCTCTTTTGGATAAGTTTTTGTCTCTGGCTTGGACTATGGATGTATATAGCGGAAAATCTCAATTGAAAAGCACTTAGATTTGTGTATCAATTGTTGAGTTTATGTATTCTTATTCTCTGAAAGAATGAGATATCAAATAAGATGTTTGGTATGAAGTCTTAGATGAATATTGTACTAATCCTGATTCACAGATAATTTATGGGATTTTTATTTCAATGAATCGGAAGCTTTGCAGTGTTTATATGTGCTTTTGAGAATATTCTTTTCTTTTGATCTCAAACATGATTCAATTTAGCCCTGATCTCTATGATTTCATTAGTTGTCATTCCTATGGATGACTCTAGATAATGTCAAGAGGGTGGAACATCTTAATGAGACTTATTGCAGAACCTGGAGGTCTAGCTTTATACTAGGGTTGAATGGCACAAGACCTTGGGCTTGTAGGGTCCTACAGGCTTAAACAGAGGACCCTGCTGATTGCATGATAGTGCCTTAACTCTTAAGATGATATAACAATGATACCATTGAGATTGGCCATGAGAAGATTTTTCTTGAACAAACTTGGACTACTTAGGTGGAAAAACGTGCTAGATTTTTCCTGAGGTATGAAGTTGCCATAAAAAATGAGGAATGCAATATGTTTGTTTAAAAATCAGAGTCATCTGGGTGATTGCACTGCCTTATGGTGTTGCAATTTGTTTTCCTTTGGATTTTCATTTATTTATTTTTTTTGGCTTTGAACCAATTTTGGTTATGCTGGAAGAAATTTCATATAGCACTTTTCTCTTGAGGGTGGCAATTCACTACTCAATGAGGTAGCAGATCCACTTTTCTGCTTACTACTCAATGGGTGTGATACTGGATATGTTGAAACAAAGTTTCCTGTTAACATCTTTCAAAGATATTACTTTTAATGCACTAGATAATCTAACAATCAACTTTTTATGTCCTAAACCCCCTTGACACTTCAACTTTCCCCTGTCAATTTGACCACCAATGATGGTGATATAGTTAGCATTTGCTTTGATTTTAAATAACTATACCTGTGTCTTTTCTCCTCTAACTGCACTCTTCTACTTGTCTTTGTTTCCTTTCCCCTACATTCTTTAGCTCTCTCACCTTTTTAACCCTTACTCAAGCCATGCTAACTCTTAAGTCAATCCTTCCAAATCTTAAATCACGGTGAATGGATTAAATTTCTGGAGTTCAATCGCAGACTCCTTACCAACTAAACTAGTCGGTACCCACAACTCTTTTTGGCTTAGATTTTATTTACTCTTTGTATATTTTCAGATTTTTTTCCTGTTTTGTTACTGTTCTATTGGTTTGTCACTGACTCTGAGTGATTCTTCTCCTTGGATCAAGAAGAATCTTTGGTCAAAGTATCTGACAGTCATTCATTCCAAAAGGTTGATGTTGTTGAAAGCCTGAATGAAAGATATAAATGCATATCTGAAGTCAAAGCTGTTGTTTCTTAGTATGATTTTGCATCTTTTTTCTTGATATGATTTTCAAGACTACCTGTTAGATTTTAAAATCGTGCCGTGATTAGGATAATTGAAAACTGTTAACTTTGTGTCACCAAAATCAGAATATGAGCTCCTTTGGTTAATCTTCTTTTCACATGGGACGAGTTGTTTGTTGGCTCTATTGTTTGCCATACTTTTTATTTCTAAATCTTGCATCTGTTATACTCTTGGAACAAAGCTAAGGTCATTTTTATAAAACCTGGATGAGGTTTGCCTGACTAATTGTTCTGGCCCAATCAGACCCTAAATATATTTTAAAGTAAAACATATATGAAAGCTTAATTAGCCAAATTAACCTGTGAACTGTTAAACCATTACCAGCAATTAAAAGCTGAATGGATTTTTAACACCAGTGTAAAAGTGCACATACTTAAAATTTTTAGTGTTTACCTCATATACTTTCCCAAGTTTTACTTAATCTATAAGTAGTAGTTCATTATAAATCTGTCTTTTTCTTTAAAAAAATTATTTGGATGAAGTTTTTCAAAGTTTGAATTATTGATCATGATGACATGAGTTACTGCTTTTTTTTTTTTTTTGTTATATTAATATTTATTCTGGCACGATTGATAGGATCATCTGAATTTGTTAAAATATTTTTAAAAACTTTGATTTCCCTTCATATTCTCTTGTGCAGATTTAATTTAAAGTACTAAATTTGTAATAATAATATTCATGTCACAGATATAAGTAGTTTAATTTGTCCATTTGATTTATTCCCAATTCTTTTTAGAGGCAACAATGGATTTCATAAGTTGTTTTGTCTCTAAAATTTTATCTGAATTATAATTTTTTTTTTTTAAAAAAGAAGCCCTGTTGTTTGATCTTCTTTCTCAATTGATTTGTTGTGTTGCAGGACCTATTATCCCCTTTGTGCTTTAATCTTCACTGCCCTGTTGATTTGCCTTGCATTAGATTTGTTAATTGAAAAAGAGAATTCACTTCTGAATAAAAGCTCACTATTGCTGATCTTATTGGCTTCTGTGCATCTTTTTCCATACAATTCAAAAGGATGATGTTGTTTGTCAATTGAAAATGATTGTTCTCTTATTTATCAGTAATTTTTTTATATTAAATATATCTGTCATTTTACGTTTGGATTTCTGGAGAAAGTAAATGTAGATTTTAAGTGACCAAGAAAGAATATAATTGAGGATGTACTGGAAACAGTATACCATCTGAAGTTTGCTGTTGTTGATGGTGCATGTGAATGGTTTCTTTAACCATTTGAACATTTAGATTTTAAACATGGAGCATTGGCTACAAATGTATTGCCTAAAGTATATTACGCAGAAAGTGCGAATGAGTAGATGGAGAAAAACAGACCAGGGCAAAGAATTGGGCGGTAGCCTCTTAGAAATTCATAGGACATGTGTTTAACCATAACGTACTAAAAGAATACCACAATCATGTATCTGAATATAACTTCTTGTTGGAATTGGAATAAAGCATGGTACAAATATGAAAGTGCAGAATTCTGATCCTCCAGGTTTGAGTAGTTGAGTAGGAGAGATTGAATTGTAAGATATATTATTCTTCTCAATACAATCTTATCTTTTGTGACTTTCCACATTTTAGGTCATAATTAGATTGTAGATTGATATGAATATTAACAGTTGTTCTGAAATTAGAGTTTGACTATTACTTTGAGGTCATATTATATATCCTCAATTAATGAGTTTTTTAGAGTTTTGAATGGCGATTACAGTCTGATAGCAAGTTATCATAGCTCAATATTGGAGATTCTTGAAATAAACACGACTGCTGACTTTCATGAACAACCAGGGAAAACTTTCAGAATAATATTCTGCTAATTGTCTCATAATTTGGTCTTTACATTCTTTGCTTGTATGCTTTTAAGTCATTTCTTGTGTTGACTTTAATCCTGCCGTTGTCTGTATATCTGCTTGAGTTTCTTTTCATTTTTGACTTGAATCTTGAGTAGAGTAGAATAAAACAAATATGTATGTTAAGGTTATTGGTTAAGAATGGTTTATTATCATCAAGCGTTTCCTTTTCTATATAAGCTAACAAATTATTGTCTTCTACAATACCTTTGCTTTTGTCATGTGAATGTTGTCATAGAGTGCTTGTTTCTTTTGTTCCAACCCGCGTAGTAGGATGAGATAGAAGTTGGAAATCACCGACTTGTATAATCTCAGTTGGGTTTTTCTGGTTATCTCTGAAAATTAGAGGTAGTCCAATGGCATCATGTATTCACTTGGGTAGAATTCTTATTCTTGAAACTACTGGTCTAGAACTTTCTCATTCATCTCATCTCATGCCATCTCATCCTTCAATGGTTGAACAGGTTCATCCTACATTTTGGGGAAAGTTTTCAGTATGGTAAGTTTTTCAAGCTATAAGTTTTCTTAACATAGTGGTAGTTAATAAATAAGGGAGATAAAAGAAAAAAAATGATATGTGAAATTTTTATGAAATGGAGATATATATGATATGATTTACAGGTATCTAAGTTTTTCTGGTTAGGATTTTCTATTCTTTTGCTTGTGTAGATGATTCAATTCCTTGTTTGATCATCATCTTCATTTTTTCCCCTTAAAAAAATCGTAATAATTAGTTTAGACCAACAAATTGGGTAACATAACATATTAGCAGTTAAATTGCAATACTTAGTTTTAGACTAAAATTAAATAAAACAAATTAAAAAAAAAAAAAAAGGGTAATCCTTTGTATTTCCATTGGAATCAAAAGATTCCTTCCTTGCTTTTAGTTATTGACTTATTGTCATCTTTACTCCTTTTATATTGGGATTTTTTGTTTTTTTGGCTTTAGAATATCTAACCTTTAAATTGATCAACTTTTATGTTTTGCTTTATTCTTTACAAGTGAAGTACTTTTGTATTTTGTCCCATCTCTCTATTATGATTGTTCCTTGAAGAGGGAAAAACGATAATGAAGGTTAGGGGAAGATCTTGATTGGACTTTAAGGAGTTTTAAGTAATAGTTGATCTATAAAAGAAGATATAATATTTGTTAGTGAAGAGTTATTTAAGGTATACGAATAAATTGATGCATTTAAAACTTATAATAACAACACCTGAGTTATGATTCTAGTTTGATTGAAGGATTTGTGTTTGGTGAATTACAGAATAATGTGATTGATTATAGAAGGAAGGAAGATAATGACCTACGTGTTTCCCTTCAAATCCAAGCAAAAATGGAAACTAGTTTTTGTTTTTAGTAACTTACCGAATCAAATCATTACAAGTCACAACCACCGTATATAATTAGCCCCACGATTAGCTTCAATAACAACTAATAAGAAAATGAAAATAATGTTTCAGTTTATGAGTTGGAGATGGATCTTTGATCCTCTCCATGAATGGTATTGGTTGGTAGCTGCCATTGAGAGCGATGGT